AAGAGAAGAAAAGAGCTACATTAAAACATACCATGGAGGATGTGTTGTAGGAGCATTATGGAAAAATGGCATCTGCAGAAGCCAAGATTTTTCAGCTGTTTAAAATCATTGATCCATACATTCTTAGGGCCAGGTTTTTGCTTCGATAGTATGAATATATAACAATCAAAGACCTCTTTCTTCTATCTTCAGCCTCATTCTATCTAAATAGACAGTTCTGACAAGGGTTTAGTGCTAGGTAGCTTCAAGAATTTTCTCTAGGCAATTACTTTCTTCCCAGCCTTTGAAAAGAATCTAAAAATCACACTCTTCTTCCACAAAGGACACTAGATGGCAGCAGCTGACATCACAAATAAGATCTCTCCATTCAATTATTTGGCTCGGCCTGAGAAGCACTGCAGAAAAAAAATTGTCAGGAAAATTGGCTTCCTCTAAAGAAACCAGTCAAACGAAATTGCCTCAGAATTCTGAGTTCACATCCATGTCCCCATTCCCTGCCTGGGAAGTCAGGTGTCTCATTTTATCATCTTCAGAGAGAACACAAAGGAAGCAATTTCTTGAGAAGGGGCAGAATGACATATTTTTCATTTTATGATATAAAAAGTGTATTATCTGGCTAACAAGTTCTGAGTTATTTGACTTCTGAAACAAAACAATGGTCAGTAGAATCAGTTGCAGTGTCTGGGCAGAGAAACAAGAATTGAGATTAAATCAGGTAAAGACTACCAGTCCCTAAACTTGGTGCTAACACTACCCGGAGATGGCTGCTTCTGTTTACTAGCAGGGGAAGAAAGGTGGACAGGAGCAACTCAAAGGAATGTAACATTTGTTTGGCACCATGACTGAAGTACGTGCCCTTTAAAGCTCTGGAAAGAAAGCCAAGGGATCCAAGGTAGCCTTGCAGCAAGAAATCATAAGGTCAAGGAGGAATTTCTGGTCAAGGCAGTGCAGTGAGTTGTTTCAATAACAACATTCTTTGCTCCAAACGTCTAGCAAAGAAAAATAAAACAAAACCAAAACGACGCGGTCAGGCTTCAATACAAGGTACATATCTCCACGGACCTGAAGACAGAACAGAAATGCAATTTTTTATTGAGAGAGGTTGATCCACAAGGCACTTATGGCTCCTGGTTGCTGTAAGCTGTTTCTTTGGGATCAAAGGGACCCAAAAATGATCCATGTAAAATGGGAAACCAGAGCCAGTCTCCCAGCTTGAAATCAGGGACTGACTCGTTCCCTACTGCTCCGCCCAGTATAGAAGAGCTGCATCAAAATCTATGCTGGAAGATTCCTTTTAGAAGTAGTATCAAAAAGCTAAATACAAAGAAGCTA